TACTTCTTTTAAAGTTTCCATTTTTTTATGATTCAGTCCTTTTAGGCTGTAAGTTTCTAGGAATTTTTCCTTTTTGCCCAAATAATGTAGTTCCTTGGGATATAATTCTTCATAGTTGTCTCTTAGTATTGTTTTTATTTCTGTGGGGTCAGTCACATTTTCTCCTCTCCTCCATTTCTGAGTTTATTTATTTGAGTTTTGTCTTTATTATTGACTTTTTCTTAGTCTCACAGAAAAGTTTTCAATTCTAATTATCTTTCAATAAATACCAACTCAGTTTTGTTCATTTGTTTTCTATTTTCTACTTCAATTTCTGCTCTAATTTTTTCATTTTATTACATCTACTAACTCTGGGCGAGATTTGCTTTCACTAGGTCCTAAAATAGTAAAGTTTGGTTTTTTATGATCTTTCCTCTTTTTAATGTAAGCTTTTACTGGTATAAACATTCACATTAATACTACTTTTGATAATATCTCATAAATTGGGATGTGGGTTTTCTTTGCCTGTCTCAAGATACATTTTATTTTCACTTTTGATTTCTTCATTGGCTATGGTTTAACAAATATGTTGTTTAATTTATACATATTTGTGAATTTTCCACTTTTCCTTCTGTTTTCAATTTCTAATTCCATGCTTATTGTTACAAAAATATTTGATAAGACTTCAAACTTATTTTTTCAAAATACAGTTTTGTGACCTAATTTTCAGTCTTTAATGAAGGATGTTCCACATTCACTTGTGATGAACACATTGTGTGCTGTTGTTGGGTGAAGAGATTTGTTAGTCAAATCTAGTATTCTGGGATGACTTGTGTTTAGATGTTCCCATAAAGCCTCATGCCATTATAACTGGGGCTTTTTCAGAAGTGGCTGGATCTGGAGTATATGATTGATTCGTGGTTCAATGCTAGAATTAAGAGCACTGGGATTGAGTATGTGATTACTAAATTAGCCCACTGATGGGTATGGCATCTGCCCTAAGCCAAGTAGCCTAGATAGAATATAAAAGGGGCAGGCAGAAGCTCCTATGGTCACTTGTTGGTTTACTTGCTTGCTTTGCTGTCTTTTGACTGCCTTGGACTGTTTCTCCTCTACAATGCCCCTCTGCCATGCCACTCTGCCTGGTAGCCAGCCAAATATGAACTGAAACATGTACAAACTGTGAGGTAAATAAACCTTCCTTCCTTTAACTTTGGAGGTTATGTATGTTATCTCAGCAACCAGAAAAGTGATTAAAACACATTCTTTGTTAACTTTCTGTCTGATCATATTATGGATTATTGAAATTGGGGTGTCTGTACTGTAATTCTACTACTATTCATTTCTCACTTTTTTTCTGGTAATGTTTGCTTTATGTATTCAAATGCTTTGAATTTGGTTGCATATAGTTGTTGTATGCAGTACATAGTGTTTACATTCCTTGTAGAAAGTTGGTACATATACATATCTTAATTCTTTTTTTCAACCTCTTTCCCCTTCTCCTTCCCTTTTTCCCATCCCTTGACCTTCTACTTTTTTGTATATGTTTGCAATACATAATTTTCACATTCCACATAGTTTAATAGTTGTTATATATTCCTTGTGAATTGATCAATTTATTTGTCAATATATAATGTGCTATTTTATCTTTTGTGAAAAATTTTACTTAAATTTTATTTTAACTGATATGAGCCATCCACTTTGCCATTTGTTTTATATTTGAATGGAATATTTTTTTTCATTTCTTACCTTTTGTAGTCCCAGGTCCTTAACATTTCTTATAGACAGCATATAGTTGGATATGTACATCCTCTATGTCTACTGATATTTCCATTGAGGTGAATTCATACATTCTATATCTGCTGATACATTCATTGCAATGCTGTTTTATTTTTTATTGTTGTCCTAAGTGGTGCTAAATATCAATTCCTTGGCTTTATGTATGCTAGGCAAATGCTTTACTAGTGAGCTACAACCTCAGCTCTATTATTAAATTTTAATTTTCCATTGCATATGATAGATATAAGTATTATTTTAGATGTATGACTCATCAACATTTTATTCTGATTTATATTTTTTGTGTTTTAATGTTCTTCACAATGAATTTCATACAGCAGTAGTTTTTAATTTTAATATAGTTCAACTTATTAATATTTTTAAAATATCACCAAATCTGAGATTATCTGGATTTTCTCCTTCTAAAAGGTTATAGTTTTGTGTTTTCAGTTTAGGTCTATAATCTATTTTGAGTTTATTTTTTCCTTTATATGTCTATTATTTACTAATACCATATCATTTTGATCACTGTACTTTTGTAACAATTCTTAAAAGTTCAGGAATATCAGTCCTCCAAGTTTGCTCTTTTCTTCAATATTGTTTTAGCTATTCTGGCATTTTGGTGGTTCAATATAAATTTTAGAATCAACTTGGCAATATTCATAAAGTAACTTTCTGGGGTTATTATTGGGATTTCACTGACAGTATAGTTTGGGAAGAACATGCGATTTGACAAATAGTCTTCCCATCCATAAATATGTGATTGCTCTCCAATTATTTAAAGTTTTTATTTCTTTCCTTAGAGTTCTATAGTTCTCCTCTACATATTTTGTGCCTATTATATTTTGTTAGATTTGTACTTCAGCATTTCATTTTATTGTGCTAATATAAATATTGCTTTGAATTGCATTCAAATAGGAATCATTTATAGATGATGTATTGGAGGCTAGTTTTGAATATTTTTGTATTTAATTTTATGATAGATATTACTCTTCCATTCTTGTAATATCTGTCTGTTTGAATGTTAGGGTAATTTTGGCCTCATAGAATGAATTAGGAAGTATACTTTCTGTTTCTATCTTCTGGAAGAGGTTGTAGAGAACTGGAATAATTTCTTCCTTCAAAATTTAGTAGAATTAATCAATGAAACTGGGCTTATCTCTTTTTGATTCATGAAGTTACTAATTATTTATTCACTTTCTTTAATAGATATATATTTATTCATATTTTCTATTCCTTCTTGTGTGAATTTTGGTAGATGATGTCCTTTAAGAAGTTTCCCCATTTTATCTAAAATAATATTTGTGGATATGGATTTGCTCATAATATTCCTTTATTATTCTTTTAATGATTAGTAGTTTTGACCTTTCTTTCACTTTTAAGATTAGTAATTTTTCTTCTCTCTCTTTTTTTTTTTTTTTGGTTAGCCTGAATAGAGATTAGTCAATTTTCCTGATACTTTTAAATAATCAACTTTCAGCGAGCTTATGTCCCCTAGGCCAGTGATGCTGAATCTTTTAGAACTTTCAGTGTTAGAAATAGCCCACCACCACATGCATGCCATGGGTTCACCACCACTGCTAGGCTCTGTCTTTCACAGGTGATTCTCAGTTTTCTTCCCATACCCACTCATGTAATTCAGAAAGGACATGGAGAAATGAAGTTGAGTATTTCCCTTCTACCAAGTGAATTAGGATGTTGTACAACCCAAGTCAGTCAGTCCCTGGTGAAATAGTCTTCCTTTGTTAGGAAGATCCCTCAAAAGTCTGAGCTTATTTCGAGCGCTTTCTCCCTATATCTGCTAGAAACATGACAGAGTTTTTCTTTGAAATTTCCAAGCTCTTTATATATAAAATCAGAAACTAGAAAAATTTGTGGGTTTTTTTTTGTCTTTTTGCTTACATACTCTGGTCTTAGAACTACTAATCTACAAGATACATTTGAATGTCTTTTGAAGGAATTATGGGTTCTAGTCATTCTGTCTTCACCTGTTTTCTCATAGTATTTTGTAACCCTCCTTTTCATATTTTCTGCAGAATTTTTCCTGTTTTATATATTATTTCCTCATTTCCCCTTTTGGTTCTCTCCGTTTTCCCCTTGGCTACAATGCTTGCCTCCTCCTGCTCCTCTTTTTCCACTTCCTCATTTTTCTTTCTCTCCCTCCCTCCCTCCTCTCCCCATGATACACACACACACACATACACATACACACACACACACACACACGCACGTAAAATATCTAGTACAATTGTCTTTCTTTGTCCATAGATTTGCTTTCTATGGTTTCATTAACCAGTGGTCAACTGTAGTCTGAAACTACAACATGGAGAATTCTTGAAATAATTTTAAATGTTTTAAATTATGTGTGTTATGAGTAGTGTGATAAAATCTTGTACTCTCCTATGAGGTACATTTGTCCAAAAATATTTACTACATGCTAGTAGAAGATAGAGGGATAAATAGAAGCTTTTCTCTGCCCTCTATAAATATATTAACAACCAAGGGAGATAAAAAATATCTGTATAATTATACACCTTACATTTTACAGGACTAAAATTATTGTCATCAGTTAAACATTTTGTCTTAGGCATACCTGTGGACCAGAAAGTGTCTGAATCTCTCCCTGAGGACTCATTTTATTATTTGTGAATTGCAGCCTAACCAATATCTTTTAAAAACCTAAGTTACATAAATGTTATATTTTACATGTAAACTTTTAAATTTACATAAGTTAACTGCCCCTATAAAATCATTCAATTCTTCTAAATGCTGTTTGAATAAGCTTTAAAACCATATTTTTGAATGTACTAATTTGTAAAACTATACACTTGGTAAGCTGTCTGTATTAAAGGACAGAAATATCTAAAGTCGCAGGCTATAGTTTCTCTGGAAATTATTAAGCAGAAGTTTGATGTATCACTGTGTTCAGCAAAGTATCTTACATCAAGAAAGAAATATGTAAGTAATTCCACTAAGCAACCAAGATGACACAAGATTATGATTTAGAGCATTAGAGAGTATCCATCAGAAAGATAAAACCATTTCTTTTTTTCTTTTGAGACAGAATTTCCCTATTGTAGTTGAGGCTGGCCTTGAACTCACTATGGAGCCCAGGTTGGTCTAGAACTCATGGTGATCCTTCTGCCTCAGCCTCCCGAGTGCTGGGATTACAGGTGCTACCACACCTGGCTGCATCACTTGTTTACAGTAGTATCAAATGATTGGAGTTTTCCTTCTGTTTTTAGTCAGAAAGGCAGAAACTTTATGAAGAGACAAGTCAGAAGTCCCTCTTTAGATGTATGAGCTTCTATAATGATATTGGAAAATTATACATTTTGAACATTCATTGAAAACTCCTGCAATGGTAAGTAGACAAAAAATTTATTTTGTCATGGAAAAAGTAAAAAATACCTCTTAAGTAGGAAATAAAAAAGCTTTCAGTGGAGCCTTTAATGTTAATTATACCTGAAGTGTCTTTAAAAGTGGTACTTCTCAAACTGATTATTCATAGGTATGTATGACTTGGGATCTTGTTATAATGTGATTCAGAATGCAAAGATTCCCCCTTCGTATAAAGCTCTAAGGTAATGTTTCTGCTGGGTAACCTAAAAAGACTACACAAATACTATAAATTCTCTTATATTTGGATGCATTTTCCTTCTATTTGTTTACTTTTTGTCTACTGTTCTAAAAATAATTTGATGTTAATAGAGATAGTCCATTTTCGAGAGTAGGTTAAATTTAAAAATATATATGGGAGTGAACAAAAAAAAAAGAAAGATGAAGAAAATAGTTGAATTTAGTTTCCTACTAAATATCGCCCGAAAGTGTGGCTTTTAACATGATGACTTAATGTCATGCCGATATTCCTAGCTTATGAGAATTGCATCAATGTAATAATTGGTAATATTCCCTAATCTGAATTAAGTGAAAAAGTACATGGACGCCCTATTGTTTACTCCTATAAACAGCTACTTACCTGAAATAATATTGAATATTGAAAAGCATAATATACAAATGAAGAGTCATTAAGCAAATGTCCAGATAATCAACAATAAGATAATGACTAAGTAATATTCTTAAAATAGTTGTTAATTTTGGTACTTTTATGTATTGGTGGTACATTAGCTATTAAGACTCTAGTTGTTATGTATAAAAATAGGTTTTAAAATTTTGTTTTTCTATATATCAATATAAATATCTTTATATTTAAAACAATATATACAACTTATTTGTGATATATATATATGAGTTTCCATTCCAAGAACCTTGAAAATTAGTATTTCACTAAAGAACATCTAATTATATATCTAAGTATATATGATAACTATCAGTCTTATATTCCCTGAAGGGGCCCACAAAAATAATGAGTGGCTTTTTCTTAGATGAATGACTTTTTATTTTGCAATTAAAAATGAGTGAGAAAGCCCTTCATTAAAGTTTTATTTAGGGGAAAATGGGTGTCATGAAAGACCTTAAGGCCATGGTTAATTAAGAATATAAAGTTACAAAGTACAAAATAAATATTTATTCAGTTCCTGCAAATTTAAATCACCTTTATTGATCAAATCTTGACAGTGACAAGATTTCCAAGAAATACATAAGGTAATTTAGAATATGTTTAGATCTTTATGTTAATATTATATTCATGATTATTTGTGAAGCTATAGAAATTTAAATGTACTGTTTCACTTAAACAATCAGACCATTTACAATTTGCAATTGTTAGACATCTACTGATTGTATTGACCATTTAAAATGTCTTGTTTGAGGCTGGAGATTTAGCTCAGTGTCACTGTGTCTGAGTTTGATGCCCAGTACCAAATAAATAAATAAATAAATAAATAAATAAATGTCTTGTTTGCTAGACTTGGCTATAAATCTTTACCTTATAAAATATTTTAACTCTAGAGATACCCTTGTTATAGAATAAATTACTTCATTCTATGAAGTATCTCCCAAATCTGCCGGGCTGTGTTGGAGATCTCTGTAAGAGATTCCATTACAAAGTGTCCCTCTTTCAAGACACTCATAACATTTTGTTTAAAATACCTATTTAAATGTGTGCCTTCTTCACCAGACCGTTCATTCAAGGAAGATAGTGGATATCCCTCTCTCCCTTGACTTTTTGATATTTACCACCTAGCATGACACTGAGAATAATAGAGGCTCAGTAAATAACTACATACACAGCACAAGTTCATAAGTTTTAGATATTATACATGATAAGGGCACAACTAAAAATGTAGTTTAATTTTTGTGGTAGATGAGATAAAATTTCCTAAGCATCTAATCTGAATTTACAAAAAGTATTAAAATTCTCATTTAGTTCTATAAAACTTGCATTGTAGATCTGATAGTTTTAATCTACTTAACTATATTCCTCTGTTTCTTGTAATTTCTTAACATTTCTGTTTCTTTTCAGGTTCAAGCTATTTTGGAAATTCTCAGTTGAAAGGTCACGTTCTCAGAGTGGCCATCCCTGACTACAAAACTGGTTACTTCAATATCCCATTTATTTCTTTCATGGATGTTATCACAGAGTCTGCTTATATTATTTATAGTTTTATTATATATTTTTCTTTCCATTAATTTAAATGCCATGTGACTAAAAAATGTTTCCAACTTTTACTCCTGGATTTCAAGGCTTCGCACAATATGCAGCAAAAATAATGAAGAAATTAGTGAATGGATGAATATAAACATATAGACATATGTCACAGGAATTTTGACAAAACATACATGTTAATAAAAACCTGAAAAAGTAAATGAAATGACATGGAGCTATTCTTCTTTTTCCTCAAAATTATTTACGATATATTTTCATTCTTGGTTACATGAGCTACTGCTTGGATCTAAAACTGATCAACTCAATATCTAATCAATGAAGGATAATATACGATCCTAAAGTTCTTTGTTCTCAAACTACAGTCAGTCCTGTAAAGTGACTAATTTAGAACTTATTGCTTTAAAAGCCTATTCATGCTATAAAAGAAATTTACAATTTCAAGTTTTCCTTCTTAGAAATCACTTAAACACAGTTCCTTAGTCAGTTTCAAGATGCAAAGAAATAGTATTTGTACAAATATAACAATATCTAATTTGACATAATAGCTTAAGAGTTATCATTTTGTGCTAGTTTTAGGCTTGGATTTGGGGAGTATTAACCTAGAGTTATAGTAAAAGAAGATCTGGAGAATTATACAGATTTTTTTAAAGGTGGCAGTGGTGTCAAAGTGATTACTTGTCTATCATCTTGAAGGTTACCAAATGCTGCACTTCCTTGTGCATGGCAGACTGGCTGATTAAGATGCTTTCTACATGATGAATCTTATCATGTTCACTTTTGTAGAATTTTCTTCAGTTTTTAAATAATTTTTCATTTAATGGGATAAGATGGGGATAACAGTAATGTACATTTGACCATCTTAAGCAAAGGTATTGGATCACAGCCTTTATATAATGCAAAAAGATACAGAGAATGGATAGACTCAAATCATGTTAGAGAGCTGGAGGCATACTTTAGTGGTATGGTGCTTGCCTGCTGTACATAACGCACTAGGTTTGATCCCTCGCACTGAGAAAAAAGTAATCCCTATATCAGGGAAAATTTGAATAGAAAAGAAATGATTGCTTGGATCTAAAACTGATCAACTCAATATCTAATCAATGAAGGATAATATACGATCCTAAAGTTCTTTGTTCTCAACAGCCTCTTCCTTCTTTCCTTCCTTCTTTCTTTCCTCCCTTCCTCCCTCTGTCTCTGTCCCTCCCTCCTTCCCCTGTACTTCCTCCTCCTTTCCATTTTCTTCTTTGCTTCTTCCTCTTCCTCCTCCTTCTCCTCCTCTTCCTCCTTCTTCTCCTCCCACAGAGGTCCCCATCTCTGTCCCTTTCTCTGTCCCTAAATTATTTGTTTCCTTTAGACAATACCCCGTAATCCTATCATCCGGTAGTGAAATACAATGGACTTATCTTTGAAATACGTATCCTATTTGGTCACTGAAACCGAGACTGAAGCTAAATCTATATCAAATACTTGACAGCCTTCTAGTGTTCAGGTAAATTAAGTTGTGTTCTGTAAAACTTCTAATCAGGACATTTAGAAATATGTGATGTACACAGCATTTCTGAAATGCATCTAACACTTCTTTTTAACATTTCAACAGGCATATTTTAACTTTCTCTTAAGTCATCTTCCTTTTCAGTCACTCCCAAGGTGGAATCATTAAATTTGTCTTCCAAATGAATGAAAGAGGGAATAAGAGAGTATAGATTGCTTAGAATAAAGAGGTCAAATACCTGCTTTGGCTCTAAAATTTGACTCTCTTCAGAAATATGACACATATATCCTTTGTGAACAGAAGAAAAATACTTCTAAATTGCACAAATATAGTTTTTAAAAGTGCAGAACCAAGCTTGGTAGATTAACCTAATATACTATACTTTAGACATTCTTTTCATCTTACAGTGAGACCATGACTTCTACTGTTAATAGTTTACTATGAAACAAAAAAAATGATATGGTATATGGGAAATCCTTGGCATGAGTTGTGGGAAAATGGAATATCCAGGCTTTGAATCCCAGTTGGAAAGAAATAAAAGAGAAACAATGAGAGGAGTTGAAACTGACAATGAGGTATATACCAACACTCATTAAATCCTAGAAAAGACATGGTTTTGGTTTGGGAGAAAAGGTAGGGAGAGTCTCTTGCTACACATTGCTTTATAGAGGATCTTCCAATTCCATTAGACATAGAAATCAAATTAAGCATGAGATGTGAGCAGAAGCAGAGTAAATTATTGCACAGTAGAATGGAGAAGTTACAAAAAGAGTCAGATTCAGTACTTATACAACATATATTTTTTGAGGTGATAGGAAGGCTAGGAAGATAAAGATGTCAAGAAATTTCCACATATACCCAAGGTGAGTCAAAGACAATTATTTCCCTGAGTGAAATGTTGAGAAGAAATTTACATTATTTTCAAGGCTACAAGGTAGGTCGTGCCAAATTATAACTGGAAAGGAGGGATTTCTAGAAACCCAGAAGCTATAAAATTGAGTCCTATATGTAAGAGAATATGGACAGAAGCATATTTGCCTATGTTATGGAAAGTGTCAGTTGGGGAGACAAAAACTCGTAGAAAATTAAAGAGGAAGCTGTGTTTTCTTTGTATATCTGAGTGTAGTAATATTGTACTTGTGATGCTTCAACGTGGTGTCAGATCTAGACTGGAATGTCTGAGAACCTGGGCATAGCACAAATTTATTTGCACCAACAGAGTAGATATAACTCCTCAACTAAAATTTTGTGAGAGAAACCATGTTAAGACCTTGGCTATGGTTATGAAACAGATGTTTTCTTTTTGCAGTGCTACATGTGGATAGAATCATAGAATAAGCATCATCAGTAAGGGTCTTAACTCTATATGTTTTAAATAACTGAGCTTTCTTTCATAGAGAGAAGTCCAACTCCATCAGTAGAGGCCCTCCCATTAGCATGAAAGTTTGGGATAGATTTGTGCTTGGAAGTTAACAGTATAGCGCTCATTTAAAAGTTTATGGGATGCTAGAAAAATGATCTGACCAGAGCTGATCTCAGCAAGTGAACATTTCTTTCTCTATCCAGAGAACAGAAAGTAGAGAATATATAAGACTCTTGATGAAAGCAGTGCTTGTAAGGAAACATTGTTTGGAATGACCACTTACAGCTTTTTTAAGGCAAAGGCAGATGCATAAGTCCTGATGATACAGATTCAAATAAAGATCATTTCCATTTAAGGGCAGTAATGTTATAGTGAATGTTAGATCTGGTATAGCCCTTAAAGTAGCCATGTTTTATTTTTCTGAGTATAGCAAATTAACTGGTACACAATATTTGTCATGATAATTTTCATTGTGCTCACATGGCAAGGTTCTCATCATGATCTTTTCTACTAAACATTATCAACTTTGATCTCAGTTTGAAATCTAAACTTTGAAATGGATAAGATGCAATATTGTCACTGAAAAGATGAAGTGAATTTAATTAAGAATAACAGCTGAAGAGACAAGAGGTTTCCCCAAGGATATGGTATACCTTATGATATAACTCACAAATATGTTGCATGCTAACCAGAGAAACAGAGAAAAATGGTTGATCATGGCTTTTCCCATACCTGGCGATGTATCTCCTGCAAGGGCCAAGTAACCGAAGCCAACACCTGTAAATGATTGGTTGAATCTTAAATAGACAGAGGTAGTTATGATAGGTACTGTCTGTCACATTTAAAGAATAAGGACCTAAATGGGCTGTTGCACTAATCAGAGAATAGCTGAATGCTAATGTAGACAACTGGGATTGCAGCTGAAAGAAAATATTAAATAAAGTCTAACAGAGGCTAACATTTTTCTAATAGGCATTGAAGTATCATAACTATGAGTCTACTTTAGGCTGAGAATCTGAATAGCTGGATCAAGTTCAGGTAAGATACAGTCAAGGAGAGGAATTGTACTGCTGTATTAAGGAAACTGTGTGAGCCACATTGTCACATTCCAGCCAGATTTTTGCTCCTAAGGGAAAGATGCTTTCTCTCAATTAACCAATTTCATTCCTTCAGTACTTTATCCTTCTATTTTAATTATTTTGTTTTTAGCCTATTGTTTTCTAGATATGTTCTTTCTGCAGAATGTTTCCATTTTATTAGCTAATCTGAAAAAAAAAAGGCTTGTCTTCACCTAAGGTAAGATATTTAGAGGGAGTTGATTGAAAAATAGAGGCCTTACACTGGAGGTACAGTAAAAGGTTTCTAATTTTCTGACTGAGGACAACCTGCATGTTGATACTACACTTTGTATTCAGATATAAGGTAGGAATCTAGAGTTGGTCAGTTATTATCTGATTTCACAAATACTTGTGTTACATATGCCTGGTACAATGCTTAAAAAATAAAATTTATCCTAATATTGTAGTTTGGGACATATACTTCTACTTTACCCACAGGCATATAGTAAATTTTATTTTGTTTCCTTCCTGAATGTTTCCTATAGAGATCTGAATTTACAATTCCCAGAATGGTAACAATGTATTACTACCACATCCCCCCAACTGAAATTTAAGCCCAAAGCCAGAGAGGAGGTTCTCTCAGATGTGTTCAATCCTGTATTTAAACAAGTAAAACAGGGCTGGGGATTTAGCTCAATGGTTCCACAGCTTGCCTTGCAAGCACAAGGTCTGGAGTTTGATCCCCAGTACCAAAAATAAATAAATAAACAAACAAGTACAATATCGTCAGGTTTTCAATGCTCATTTATTGAATGAGTAAATTAATAGCAGTCCTTCTATTATATTTCTGGGGCTTTTATTTTCTGATAATTTTCATCCTGATGAATGTATCAACTGTTTCTACCACTCTTGATCTTCTTACCTGATCATCTTTCAAGTAAAAAAAAAAGTGCACATTTTATAAAAGTAAACTAGGATGTATATATTTTAATAAAGTATAGATATGAAATAAAGTACACTAAAATGATATCATATGAAAATTAAGATACTTAGGTCAAGAGACATATTATAAAATGAATCTTTTGAAGCTGAAAATTAGTGAATGACTCAGTTCCTTTGCAACAGTAAATAAACGTCACATACAAGTGCATTAAAGAAATTGAATATCTTTGAACACGACTGGTATATTTGTCTGATAAAACTCAGCTGTTTTATAATGTATTTTGACTTTTATAAAGATCATGTAGTTTATGGCACATTCTTTCCT